GCAGGCAGACACATCACAGGGACAGTAATAGCCCCTGCCCCAAAAGAGAACAGTGTCTCCATATGTGTGTGTTCCAGCTGCACAGCTTCTCATAACTTTCCTATGTGTTTCTGTGCCACAAAGGTCTTCCTATGTGAGGAATACTTCTGAATTATTTGTTGAGATGGCCCCATCCCACCCTGAGCAAGGGTGTTCTCTGTCACCTGTAGCCAGGGAATTGTATTCGCTGTTTTGTGCTACTTGTACGTGATGGTGTCTTTGTGGCTTCCAGACCTGGGAACGTCCCTTTGTGTTGGAGATATTTAATGGGCATATTCCCTGTGTCAGATGTAGTTAAGGTTGTTCCTGTGTCCTCTGGCATAGCGGTTCCTTGTTATCTGTCAGGATACTTCTGTGACACCCGTGGCGCATTTCTGTGTCTGGTGTCGAAGGTTTATGCTGAACATTGGCTGTGTGAGCTCCCTCGGCAGCCCCTTGGGAGGAGAGATGTTTCCTGTCACATGTGCAAGGCCAGTCCTGATCACACTGACAGCAACTATGTGCTCTTGTGAGGGATGCAGTGACTGAGGCCATGGCTCACCTCTCAAACTGTTTGTTAAGATCCTTATGATTTAAGAGAGGGGTGTCCCTGTGACACAGTACCTCAGAGTTTCCCTTGCCAGTAAAAAGGGAACTGGGAAAGGTGATGATGCTTCCTAACCGTACAGCTAGCACGGTTACCTAGGTGGCATCCCCAGACTCATCCTGAAGCTGAAGCCTTGCTTCACCACAGCAGCCCTTCCAAGAGCTGCTTTCTTGGCAAATCCCCATTCCTTAAGCCTTTACTCCTAGAACTGTTCTTCATCAGCTGAAGTGACTGTTGCCCACCACAGTGCCATTCCTCATGGGATCTGCTAGTCTTTCCCAAACCAGGACACCAACCCAAATTTTCCCCAAGAGCCTTCCTTTCACTTTCACCCACAGTGCTTTCATGGACTCCATCTCTTCCCCAAAGTCCTCTCTGCTCCCTACTGCCACCTTTGCTCATACCCACGTAGCTGCCAGCTCCCATACTTTGTGTATTATGACATTTGAGGCTTCTCCTGATAGTCCAGCTCAGAGAGTCATATGCTTAGATGAGAATTGCAACTTTGATCTAAAGCCAGATATAAGTGTCTGTCTTTTGCAGTTTCAGGGAAAAAATGAAAACACATCCTCTATAGGTTTTGACACCAGAAAACAAACACAGGGGATTTACAATCTTTTGGTTTTGAAGAAAATACAATGATCCGTGACTGTGAATGTCTCAGTGTTCGCAACACAAGACATATAAATCTGTCTTTCAGGATCATCTCTGAGAAACTTTCTTCACTTCATAAGCAAAACCCATATGCACAGCTCATATTATTGCTCTGTGAAGTTTGGGATTTGTGTGCCCTACTGTTACTAAGTTCGGTACTACTGCAAGCTGTTTAGACAAGGTCCACCTCGAGGTAGCCTACAGGCCTCTGTCAAGTGTTTCTTTTCTTTTGTAGATTTTAAAGCCTAGGCCATGGAAGAGTGTCCCCCCCCGCCCCATCGAGAACTCCTGCCTAAACTAAAGCAATGCCTTTCTCCTTACAGCTTTTCTACCTCTCTCTCTCTCTTTCCTTGCCTTGATCATTCTGACTTCTTATCTAACCCTGTTCCTTCTCTTTCTCCTCCCTTCATCCTTTTCTTTCATTTCCCACTGACTATACAGGTCCTTTCTTATAAGATGGTCCTGAGTTTCCCAAATACACATATGCATTTACGTGCGTGCACACACACATACACGCTGACACAAATAAATAAATAAATAAAAAGGTCAGTGAGCAGAGCAGCAATAACCCCTAAAACAGTACTATCAGAGGGACATGATTGATCAATTGAATTCCATAGCGGCTGAAAAATGTAGGATTAAGTAGTGTATTATACGCACAATGAGTTGAGGCATGATGTTCATTTCAAGTTCATTTCGCCAGCCCTCTGCCACCAGATCAGGCAATCAATAGGGGCAGCAGATATCATATATCACCTCTCTCCGTGCTAGGGAGAGAGCACCATAATCTCTCGCAAATTTAGAGTGACAGATTTGTCAAGATCTGAAGGGCCCCTGAATAAATGAAGGAAAAGAGACTCCTACAGTGACTTGGGAAAGCTGTGGTTTCAGCTTCTTCACACAAAGGCATGGCCTGTGCACACACAGGAGACACATGTGCAGAGGGCTCTGCAGGCAGACAGGAATTGTAAATACATGTGCATGTGTGCACTAGTCTGTGTAACCACCCAGGGCAACCCACTAAGGGTAAAATCTGGTTTAATGACAATCAATGGAAGTTTTACCGTATACATGAACACCCGTCCACTCACACCAAACGCCACGCATAGTGTAGGGCTGTCATCCTTGAAAATCAAATGTAGCCTAAACCAGCCACTGCAGACAAACAGCTGCTCAGGCATGTACAGTGATGCAGAATCTAAAGAATACCAGAATAATGATCTACTGCAAAAATACCCACGTGTATCAGCACCATGGTGTGCAGAGTCATGCACACTGACTGACACGTGGAAAAATCCTGAAAGGCAAACAGCTCCACAGGCTGCACAGACAGGTTGAGACAAGTGCTGATACAGAAACACACTTTTTTTTTTTTTTCCTGAGCCTGGACCCAGGAATTCTGTGCCAGCTTTCTGTAGGGAGGACCACAGAGAATGCCTACTGGAACTGGGAGCCTAGCCACCCCCTGCAGTAACAGCCCAGTCCATCTAAAACATGAAAACCACACTGAAACACACAGTGTGCAGTACACCAAGATGGGTCTTTGCTTTGTTTTCTCTTAGTCAAATCTGTCATGAACTCCAGCTTTCAGGAACTTGAGAATTTTCCCTTGTGCAAATAAGCCTGAGGAGAGGAGAAAATGCCAGGGATCAGCGCCAGTAAACAGCCTTGCTCTGGCTAGAGGTGGAAAAGAGAGAAGAGGCTGCTTGAGGGAAGGCTGCTGGCTGGGACAAATCAATATGTAATATTTTCTATGGTCTTGCGAGTGGTACTGTACTACGTTACTGTATATAATGTACTATTGATTATATCATATCGTATAATCACCTATAAACGGATATATCTCATAGCCAGAAGGCAGCAGGCTCAGTTATAACTCTGGGCCACCAGTTGGGCATTAACTGTGCCAGGAAAATACCCATATTGGCACTGTCCACGAGCTAAAAGATGAAGCGGTGGAGTGGCATGGTTCTGGCTGTTGCACAGTGAATGCCACTCTAGGCTCCTGGGAGCATCGTCTGCCCACGAACACCTCGCAATTGCATGGAGGTGGGAAAAGGTCTATACAGATCCCTCAACCACTTGACAGACAGCAAGTTTCTGATACTGACAGACTGGAAACCACCAAGAAAGGCAGAAGTATGAAGAATAATAGTGAAAAAGCAGGAAGGTAATCAGAGCGCAAGAGGGAGAACTTGATCTTAGATTAGGCAGGGTGATAAGACAGTCAGACTTGTGTCTGATGAAGCACAGTAGGTAGAGATTTAGCAAGGAGGGCATGGAGGTATATCAGCATGGATGAGACAGGGGATTATAACCAGTCTCACCAAAGTTAGGCTGAGAGGTGACAGCAGAAAGATACTCAGCACAGTTGGAGAAGATTATAATGAGCAGACTTGCCTCAGATGAGATGAGGGATTATGACAAAGGAAGATTCACTTCAGCTGGGACAGGAGGTTATAACAGACAGACTCACCTTGGATGTGACAGATGCTAATAGCAGGAGACTCACTCACTTCAGATAAAAAGGGGTTATAACTGAGATAAATGCACCTCATTTGAGTTGGGGGATAACAGGGGAAAAAAACCAAAACCAGGTAGGTGATAAGATGGTTTATCACAGTGAAAGAGTCACTTTGGATGGGGCAGGGCATTTATAATGGACTCACCTCAGAGGGGCTGAGTGGGCTGTAAGAGACATGGGATGGCACAACAGAGATAGAGACACCTGGAACGTGGCAGGAGACACTGCAGTGAGACTGGACTGTGTCAGAGGGCTGCTGCAGGGACAAAGATGTACTTCTGGTGATGCTTCCACCAGAAGAAGGCTTTTTTCCTAGTAAGAACAAAGGAATACCAGGAAGGCTGATTCCCACTGAGTAGGACTAGGTTTTGTAATACAATAATTCATTTTGGATAGGAAGGGGGACCGACAGAGACAAAGATTCATCTCATTTTGGAGAGAGTTTTATAACAGAGATATAGGTTGTGATAAATCATGAGCCACATGTAGGAGAATGGGACAGAGATCATAACAGAAACCAATGTATGTTGGATGGGACAGACCCTCCACAGGGAGAGACTTGTCGCTGGTGAAACATTGAGTCAGAAACAGAATCATTCCTGTTATCTGAGAGGGATGAAAGACTCATCTGGGGTATGACAGGACAAGATCAGATGAGAAGGAAATTATAAGAGAGATATAACTTCTATTGGGACTGGAGAGCTACAACAGAGACTGACTCCCTTCCAAGCTGTTAGAGAGCCCTTTCTCCATTCCAGGCTTCCTCAGCCCTCTCCAGTACAGGTCCATCCTCAGCACTCTGGTTTCTCTGTGAGCTGCCTCTCCAGTAGCCTTCTAGCGATGCTAATCGCTGTGCTTTGCTCCCATTTTATGCTCAGCAATGGAGATTTGGCAATTTTTAACACTGAAAATCAGCGGAACCGAAACTCATCTCTGAGCTGAGCACCATTCTCCACAGCCTCACTTGTCCTGAGCAGGAGAGCCCCACAGAGCCCACAGGAGCAGCACGGCTGCTCCAGCAGACAGGAGGGGGCTTCCCTTGGGTCCCCACAGCCTCCCCTTCCCACAGGAGTGGCACAACTCCCTGGGTGGAGGCAGAGGGTCCTGCTCTTTCCCACTCTGTCCTTGTCCCACATCCCTTCCTGATCCGAGCCAGGGTGGTGCTAACTCCCTGTTTTCTCTGTCTGTGCCCTGCAGATGTATCCGAGGGCTCAGTTCCCAACGGAGATTCCCAGAGCAGCGTGGACAGTTTGCGGAAGCACCTTCGTGGCGACACTTTCACCCAGCAGCAGCTGGAAGCTTTAGATCGAGTTTTTGAGCGTCCTTCTTACCCTGACGTCTTTCAAACATCAGAACACATCAAATCTGAGCAGGTGAGGGCCTGGCCTGGTAATGGGGACCCATAGGCACCCATAGGATGATGGCAGGGAGATTCTCTCACTGAAATCACTCTCCCTCTCTTCACTCCTTGTTCTCACACTGACCTGTTATTGCACGTACATCACATTTACATTTTACAGCACTTTCTAGTTGTAAATCTATCACTGTGCTGATGCATGTGTATACATGAGCTCTACCTCCTCTCATGAACTTGCTGTGTACATGCACACTGTGCTCTCCGTAAATCCCCATGTCCACTTTTCCCTCTGCACACACACCTGCAGGTATGTGGGCATGTTCTTGCCATGAACACGCAAACACTGCCATGCATGTTCACTGGCACACAGCACTGCACGGGAACTCCAGCACACTCAGATCACGCCAGTGACCAGCGAGCCACAGGGTTGGGCTTTAACTGAGCATTTTCCTTCATGGCCCAAAGCTGAGACTTGACTCCCATCTCCAACCTAGTTTTCTGCACTTCTGCAGCTCTTCCCCCCTTTCCCTTACTCCCCCGCTCCCCCGGCCTTTTATCCCAAAAGCTGTTTGTCTTAATAAAATGAAAATCAAAAGTCTTTTTAACCCGCCCCAAGCCATAAACCAACAAAGGAAGAGAAGGAGAGGCTGGCTGTGGACTCCCTTCATCCCAGAGTCCCTGGGTTTATTACAATGAATAACCTTTATTTACTTTCATTAGACTATTAAGCACCAGCACAGTCATTTTTCCCCCTGAAACTCTGAGCAGGGCCCATAAAGCAAATCCGAAGCCTAATTGAGTTCATTTTAATTTCTCTCCGATCACAGCGAATTACTCTGGTGATAAATCAGGGGGCAGGCTCACCCCCAGTAGAAGGCCTAATTTGCAGCTAATTACAAAACTGATTTCTACAGGAAGATCAATACGAGAAGGAATTGGAAATGACTAGGCAGTCCTAGCCAAGCAGGGACAGGG